GAAATCATAAATTATAATTTAATAAATAATCATAAAAAATAATAATACATTTAATTCAATAATGTAATCAAACCAAAAACACTGAAATGTGAAATAGAGCGCCAAGTTGGCACATCGCTGAGCTCAGTCGCAGAATCGTTTTCAGTGTCTGATGAGGAATTTCCCCCACCAATCATTATCACTCAATTCTGCAAGTGGTTCTGATTTACTATCGCTGTTCTCTAGCCGGTCTAAAACCGCGTCTGACCTAAAGGGACGCTTTTTGGACGCCATGGACGTTTCTCAGTTTCCAGGCAGAAAGAACAGTAACAATGCAGGCAGGGCGCCGGACAAAGCACTCGGGACAACATGTATGTGAAATGGTTTGATACAGGAATGTTATACTATGTAAAATTTGTTTGGAAAAAAATGAAATTTTTTTAAATTTTCAAATTTCCCGCCGGCGCCCGTACGTCCCGACGTCACAGGGACCGGAACACAGAAGCCGGATGCCGGCATCGGCCGGAGGAGATGGCCGGGGACGCTGCAGGGGACACATCGCGGGAGCGAAGGACAAGGTAAGCTCTGCAGGGACTCCCTATGCAGCGCCGCATGGTAACCCCCCCGAGTGTAGCTCGGGGGGGTTACCGCTTTTGGTACTGAAATTTTACCCCGAGCTACACTCGGGAATACCGCCAGGGAGGTTAAACTGAACCTCTCCAAAACTGAGTTACTTGTCTTCCCCCCGGCCCGCACACCACCCCCATTGACTTCTACATCACATCCAACAATGCCACCATCAAACCCGCCCCGCAGGCCAGAGTACTTGGTGTCATTCTGGACTCCAACCTATCCTTCCAGCCCCAAGTCCAATCACTAACAAACTCGTGCAGACTCCACCTCCGCAACATCGCCAAAATCCGCACGTTCCTAACCCCAGAAACCACTAAACAGCTCATCCACTCCCTCATCATATCACGACTCGACTACTGCAACTCCCTCCTCACTGGCCTGCCTCGCCGCTGACTATCCCCGCTTCAGTCCATCCTGAATACGGCTGCCAGACTCATTCACCTTTCCAACCGCTCCATCTCCGCCACCCCTCTCTGCCAATCCCTCCACTGGCCTCCACTCAGTGTCCTCCACCCCCCTCTGCCAATCCCTCCACTGGCCTCCACTCCGTCTCCGCCACCCCCCTCTGCCAATCCCTCCACTGGCTTCCGATTGCGCAACGGATCAAATTCAAAATCCTAACACTGACGTACAAAGCCGTCCACCATACTGCCCCGAACTACATCACTGACCTAATATCCAAGTACCGCCCAACACGCACACTCCGCTCCTCACAAGACCTCCTTCTCTCTAGTTCCCTGGTCTCCTCCTCCCATGCCCGCCTCCAGGACTTCTCCAGGGTGTCACCCATCCTCTGGAACTCCCTGCCCCAACCCATCAGATTATCACCTACTCTCCTCTCCTTTAGGCGCACCCTGAAAACCCATCTCTTCAGGGAAGCCTACCCCACCCCCTGCTAACTTTCCGACCTCCTCCACTCTTCCTACCACCCCATCCCCCACAGCTATCTCCTCCTGTGCCACCATCCCCTCCCTCCTAGATTGTAAGCTCCAAGGAGCAGGGCCCTCGATCCCCTCATGTTTTGCATTGTATTGTTATTGTTCTGTCCAAGTTCTGTCCCCCTTTGTAATGTACAGCGCTGAGCCAACTATCGGCGCTTTATAAATACTGTATAATAATAATAATTATATATATATATACTGCATGCTTAAATGCATTTTTAAACTGAAATTGATATTGAAATATATTGATATTGGCCAAAATTGAAGCATTTCGAATATCTGGTAATATATTTGGGAAGAATATTTTTAAAATATACTTTCTTCCATGTGGGTGGGGTTTACAGAGAATGGTCCAAAAAGGAGAAAATATCCAGTGAGCGGCAGTTGTGTGGAGGAAAATGCCTTGTTGGTGTCAGAGGTTTGGAGGAGACGGGCAGACTGGTTCCAGATGATAGAAAGGCAACAATGACTCCAGTAGTGTTGGGCTCGACATTTGAGTTGAATGTAGTGTAAGTTGGACCTGAACATCGGCCGCTTGCATCTTCGCTGAACACACGAACAATACGGGCGTTTGGCAGGCTGTTCACCCGCCGAGCGCTCCACAATGCACCGTGAGAGCCATGATTGGCCAAAGTCACGGTGACCACGAACTTCGAACAGAGGAGGCAATTCACTAAGAGGTGAGATACTGCACAGACACTGAAAACATGTTTGTTTTGTTTCAGCTGTCAGAGGGGATTCCCCACTGATAGAAGTACTGCTGGCATTGCCTGACAATTGAAAAAAATGTAAACAATGCGTACCCCCCCCCCCCATCCATACCAAGTCCTTCAGGCCAAAATATTTTTTAAAAATGGCATGGGGGTCCCCCACAAAATCCATACCAGACCCTTATCCAAGCATGCAGGTCAGGAAAGGGAGGGGGGGGACGAGCGAGCACCCCTTCCCCCATGAACCATACCAGGCCACATGCCCTCAACATAGGGGGGTGTTGATGGGAACAAGGGCCTCTTCCTCACAACCGTGGCCAGTTGTTGTGGGGGTCATAGTGCCCCATCATTGGTGTCAGTGGGAGGAATAGTGCCCCATCATTGGTGTGAGTGGGAGGAATAGTGTCCCATCATTGGTGTCAGTGGGAGGAATAGTGCCCCATCATTGGTATCAGTGGGAGGAATAGTGCCCCATCATTGGTGTCAGTGGGAGGAATAGTGCCCCATCATTGGTGTCAGTGGGAGGAATAGTGCCCCATCATTGGTATCAGTGGGAGGAATAGTGCCCCATCATTGGTGTCAGTGGGAGGAATAGTGCCCCATCATTGGTATCAGTGGGAGGAATAGTGCCCCATCATTGGTGTCAGTGGGAGGAATAGTGCCCCATCATTGGTGTCAGTGGGAGGAATAGTGCCCCATCATTGGTGTCAGTGGGAGGAATAGTGCCTCATCATTGGTGTCAGTGGGAGGAATAGTGCCCCATCATTGGTGTCAGTGGGAGGAATAATGCCCCATCATTGGTGTCAGTGGGAGGAATAGTGCCCCATCATTGGTATCAGTGGGAGGACTAGTGCCCCATCATTGGTGTCAGTGGGAGGAATAGTGCCCCATCATTGGTGTCAGTGGGAGGAATAGTGCCTCATCATTGGTGTCAGTGGGAGGATTAGTGCCCCATCATTGGTGTCAGTGGGAGGAATAGTGCCTCATCATTGGTGTCAGTGGGAGGATTAGTGCCCCATCATTGGTGTCAGTGGGAGGAATAGTGCCTCATCATTGGTGTCAGTGGGAGGAATAGTGCCCCATCATTGGTGTCAGTGGGAGGAATAGTGCCCCATCATTGGTGTCAGTGGGAGGAATAGTACCCCATCATTGGTGTCAGTGGGAGGAATAGTGCCCCATCATTGGTGTCAGTGGGTGGAATAGTTCTCCCGTTAATGGTGACAGTGGGAGGAAATACACGGGCTGTGATTGGCCAAAGCATTGCATCTGACCTTTTTGGTCTGGTGCATCCCTTGCTCCTGATATCAGAGGCTGCAGTTCTGATGTGGGCTGTCAGCTTGCACCACAGTGGGAGGAGACAATGGTGCAGGGGGTGTGGCTAGCAGTATTGTCTTTGCTGATTCATAAGTCGGTAGCTTGTCAATCAGCACCTGGCCACACCCAGCCCTGCCCACTGCTCTCTGGATTGGCAGCACTGCCTCTATTGCTGAGACCCCCCCCCATCACCACACACACTGTGAGCTGCAGTGCCTGGGAGGGGGAGCGCGTGAGACACAAATGAAGGGGGATTTGGCTCAGTCAGGGGAGGTGAAGGAAGTTTTCCTGATATTGATAAGGATCTTGTATCCTATAGTAAGTGGATCTGAGAACTGTTCAGACGGCTACACAGGAGCCTTCAGATGTAATTCATGTCTTTTTCTGTCTCTCCAGTGGCTGCGACTGAACCCTGTGGAAGTGAGACCTGTGCTGATGATGAGTTTTGTGAATTTGGAGTTTATACCTGCTGGTGCAAAGGTGGCGTCTATATCTATACAGGTATGGAGATCTATAATACAATAGTCAGAATGGGTTTTGTGTCTTCTAAAACCAAACAGGGAATTTGTCCCATAAACCATATGAAGTTCATGTCACATACAGAGTACATGGAGTCAGAGCGTGACGTTCACTCCCGGGGGGTAAACGCACCATAATGGAGCCCCCTGGTGTGTATGAGCCCCTAGGCTTGCCCCTCATTTGATTGGCCAGTAGTACAGGTATAATCTGGCTGTCACATAAACATGCACACTTGGCTTGCTGGGAGTAATACGGAGTCGGGAGAGGAAGCCGGAGCAAGATTCCCACTGGACTCGGCTTATCCTTCCAAAGAAACAATCTCTGTTTGCTTGAGATTTGTGGCTTAGGGAGGTCTGTGTGGGTGAAATCTTTTAACCCCTTGCCTACCCTACCGGGCATTTCTACCCCCTTCCTGCCTACCGGGCACTTCTACCCACTTCCTGCCTACCGGGCACTTCTACCCCCTTCCTGCCTACCGGGCATTTCTACCCCCTTCCTGCCTACAGGGCACTTCTAACCCCTTCCTGCCTACCGGACACTTCTACCCCCTTCCTGCCTACCGGGCACTTCTACCCCCTTCCTGCCCAGGCCAGTTTTCAGCTTTCAGCTTTCAGCGCTGTCACACTTTGAATGACAATTGCGCGGTCATGCAACACTGTACCCATATGAACTTTTTATAATTTTTTTGGTGGTATTTAATCACCTCGAGGTTTTTTTATTTTTTGCTGAACAAACCAAAAACAACTGAAAATTTAGAAAAAAAAACAGTTTTTTTCTTAGTTTTTGTTATTAAATTTTGTAAATAAGTGATTTTTCTCCTTCACTGATGTGCGCTAATGAGGCTGCAGTGATGGGCACTGATGGGGAGGCATTAGTAGGTGGCACTGATGGGCATGGACAGGCATCACTGATGGGCACTGAAAGGCAGCACTGATAGGTGGCACTGAAAGGCAGCAATGATAGGTGGCACTGAAAGGCAGCACTGATAGGCGGCACTGACTGGCACTGTTAGGCAGCACTGATAGGTGGCACTGACTGGCAGCTCAGATGGGCACTGATATGTGGCATTGATGTGGCACTGATGGGCACTGGCGGGTGGCATTGATGGACACTGACAGGTGGCACTGCTGGGGCTACACTGATCATCAGGGAACACTGATCAACAGTGCCCTGATGATCAATGTACATGTCCCCTCCGCGGAATGCCGATTACTGGCTCTCCTCTGTCAGTATGACAGTTCGTGAGGAGAGAAATGCCGATAACCAGCATTTCCCTATTTACATGTGATCAGCTGTGATTTGACACAGCTGATCACATGACTGAGCCGACATCTCTGGCTCTTTCCATTGATCGGTGATTATCTTTCTCTGAGGAACACAGCACACCACCGATCGCTGGGCTGCGCGCTCCCAGAGCCACGCACACGTGGTTATAGTGGGAGGACGTTGTATGACTCCTCCCAGAACGAGAGAACCACCTTGCCATATAAGGTAATGACGGGCGGGAGGCGGTTAAAGGACCTCTGTGGGCTCCCTACTCTGTTCTGTAGAATACCAGGGTTCCTCCAGAGGCTCCTTGAGCAAATTCTGCCTCTCAGATAAGTTGCCACTCCAAAGATCTTTTCAGCAATCTGTAAGGGGAGTATTTTGTCCACTGACCACCAATGTAAGGGACTCTTTTCTACTGACCACCAATGTAAGGGTATCCTTCTCCCACTGACTACCAATGTAAGGCTTTCCTTCTCCCACTGACTACCAATGTAAGGGTTTTCTTCTCCCACTGACTACCAATGGAAGGGTTTTCTTCTCCCACTGACTACCAATGTAAGGGTATCCTTCTCCCACTGACTACCAATGTAAGGGTTTCCTTCTCCCACTGACTACCAATGTAAGGGTATCCTTCTCCCACTGACTACCAATGTAAGGGTTTCCTTCTCCCACTGACTACCAATGTAAGGGTTTCCTTCTCCCACTGACCACCAATGGAAGGGTTTCCTTCTCCCACTGACTACCAATGGAAGGGTTTCCTTCTCCCACTGACTACCAATGTAAGGGTTTCCTTCTCCCACTGATTACCAATGTAAGGGTTTCCTTCTCCCACTGACTACCAATATAAGGAGTTCCTTCTCACTGGGAACTACAGTAACCACCAATGTAAGGGGGCACTAAACTGACCACCACAATAAGTGAGTGCTACTAGGGGGCACTACATTGACTATCAGCATAAGGGGGCACTACACTAACCACTAATTTAAGGGGGCGCTACACTAATCATCAATTTAAGGGGGCACTACTCTGGCCACCAATGAAAGGGGGTACTACATTGACCACCATCAGTCAATGTACTGTATGTGAACTGGAAGTTTAATTGGCTTGTAACTCTTTGACTCTATGGCATATTTCTCCCCAGTCCCTGGTCACTCCTGCCACCCAAAAGTGGTTGCATATGGAAAACCCCTGTAGTGTATAATGTACATCATAAATAAATGTACCGGTGTCATACTATGTGCTAACACAAAAATAATAAATAAAAGTAAATAAATAAAAACCCGGACGCCAAAATATATACTTTCTCTCCCGAAAGTCCAAAATGCACAGTCCAACTTTTAATCAGCGTCTCTGTATTTTAAACACCCAGTAGTGCCGATATCTTCTTAATGAAGATATATCTTCTTAATAAGATTTAAGGAGGAGCCATACACGCCTAAGACGTCACGCCACCGGATCAAGGAGGTCCGGTGGCCCCCAGAACTGTCCAGCTGGTCAGTTTTTCGAAATGGTTTATGAACGGTTTTGCTGCATGCTTTGTCTACATTTCATTGGCGATAGCCTCCATTTGCTTTTATGTATGTTCGTCACTTTTAACCATTAATAAATACACTATGGCCACTATTCTCTGCTCCAGATCGAGCATTTAACCCCCTGGACCATATGGTGACCACCCTGAGGCCCAGAGGAGAGTGACTCATATAAGCTGACCCCCATCACAGCTTCCACCAGTAGAGAAGATCTCTTGAGGCGCCAGTATTGTGGGACAGCCTGTCCAGTGTGAGCTGTACCTTCCACAGGACAAGAGGGGACCTCTGGTTATTAATATTGCGCTTACCTAATGCGCATCTGGTGAGTGCGCATTTCTTGTATTTCCCCACACGGTTTTGACGAGTGCCTCACTGGGAGTAACAAAGCCACCATTTCATCCATTTGTCATTTAACGGACATTGTTCCTATGGACTTCATACTGTCTATTTGAGGGTGTGGCCAGACTCTGATATAGCACATTTCATTTGTTTATTAACACTGCAGCTTTTTCATATTGTATATATTCAAGAGGTCATATGGTTTCCTTGTAGTGTATCAGCAGCTTATGTTCTTATCATCTTAGCGCTCGCTGAATCACCTTTATCTTCTTAATGAATATTCTTCCTCCACAAGTGATAAAAATCCTCTTCCTCCACTTAATACCCTCGAAAAAATAAATCGCATATAGTGCATTATCAACAACGCATGATATCCAACATACCAAAACGCACTTACAAAAATAGTTCTAATGCATGCAAAAATCACTCCACCGTGTGTGCACCGCTAACCATCCCTCATCCTTACTCTCACCCTCTCGCAAATTTGAAAAAGCTTCCACAAAATGGCATCATAACATGCAGCAAAGTAGACCCCACATAGTGGATGTTGTAGAGGAAGAATATTCATTAAGAAGATATCGGCACTACTGGGTGTTTAAAATATAGAGACGCTGATTAAAAGTTGGCCTGTGTATATGTACATCAATCACCGTCACCTTCTCATCTTAGAAATGCTGAATTCATTGATATTTATTTTTTTTTATCAGATGACCCTCCATCTCCAAATATTACTTGTACTGGAGCAAAGTTCAATTTTCAAATGTCAGTATGTTGGATGGAACAGAACTTTTTTGATAGGTCCAATATAAGGCTGAACAGCACCAACCCCGAGTGTTTGGCAGTAGAGCAGCTTGTGGATGGAATACGGCAGATGACCCTTCATCGTCCATTGACGACCTCTGACTGTAACACTAAAGCTGAGGTAAGTTCTCCAGACACGGTCTGACTGTTTGTTATACAAGAGAAGTAAAAACAAATACATTAAAACATGTACAGACGTGCTGAATGTCCACAATAAGTGTACCCAAGTGCAGCAAACACAATTACCAGAACTTCAGGATCTCCATTTTAAAAGAGATCTAGGATCCCTTGGCTGAGAAGCAGCCGTGATAACCTGTAGTATCCAGCAACACCAGCTGGAGCTCACAAATGCTTCTAATGGAAGAGGAACATAAAGACGCATCCAACAGAGTAGTAATTACAAAACAAAAATGGCAACAGAGGGTTTATTAAAAAATCACTGATGTCTGTGGTTGGACGAAACATGTTAGGGGGGGGAGGAATTGTTGACATCACATCTGCTGGAAGTACTGAGGCAACCATATTGGATTTTCTTCTGCTGGCGTTTCTATATTTTATGCGCGAGAGGCTTTTTTCATAAATCTCACTAATATTTGAACATAAATTGTCTTATTTATGTTTTTGTTTCACTTCTAATATTGCTGCAAGTTAACCTACTATGACCTGAGCACGTATAGTTGATGTATTTTAGCACTTATATTTTATTGTCATTTGGGATTATTAATCAATAGTGATAGACTGAACACCCCCCCCCCCCCGATTCAGTTGGTGGTAGAACATTCCAACGGATCAAAAGTTTGCCGCGACCATCGAACCTCATGTAAGTCTATGGGACTGGAACTTGCAAATTCAAAAGTGCCCATTTTGAAGGTTAAATGCAAACCATTGACCATAAAAGTGGTATGGGGACTCGGGGACTGCCCTGGCTTGCCTACCGGGCACTGTCACCCCCTTCCTGCCCAGGTCAATTTCCAGCGCCGTCGCACTTTGAATGACAATTACGCGGTTATGCAACACTGCACCCATATGAAATTTGTATCATTTTTTTCACACACATAGAGCTTTATTTTGGTGGTATGTACTTGCCGCTGGGGTTTTTTTTTTGTGCTATAAACAAAAAAGAGCAAAAAGTTTGAAATAAAAATGTTCTTTGTATTATAACACTTTGCAAACAGGTAATTTTTTTCCTTCACTGATGTGTGTTGATGAGGTTGCACTGATAGGCAGCACTGACGAGCACTGATAGACGGCACTGATGAGATTGCACTGATAGGCAACAATGATGGGCACTGATAGGCGGCACTGATGAGTTGACACTGATATGCAACAATAATGGGCACCAATAGGCATCACTGATAGGTGGTACTGATGGGTGGCACTGACTGATGGCACTGCCTGGAGGCACTGCTTGGCACTGATGGGTGGTACTGCTGGGCAGCACTGATGAGCACTTTAAATTAGATGAACCTGTCAAACAGGTGTAGAATAATTGGGCCTTGGGTGTCGGTGGTGCAGGGTCCAATCCTGAACTCGTCAATAAATACTCTGAAGGGTTACGGTGTGAAGGCACCACCAACTGTTTGACCGCCAAACACCCCACAATGCAATGCAATATTACTGCACCAGTAGAATTATACAGATTTAAAACAGTGTGGATACGCAGATCCTGTACCACACATAATAACAGGAGCAGGGACCAGACAAAACCAAACACAAGGATCCAAGGCCATCTTGACAATACATAACGTTTTCATTTTACCTTTTATTCCTCCTGGCCAGATAGATACAGTATATAAATGGGGGGAAAGGAACAAAGCAAAATACAAACCATCAATAAAGAACAACTGGTACACCAGATACATCTCATTAGAGAAAACTGTGGATACACATGATCTCCCCTAGGGGAAGAAGTGGAGTTACATGTTTGATGTAAAATGTCACACCTGCAAGAGCCAATCCGCTATTAATTGAGGAGGAGCAAGTCCGGGCGTATCTAGCCAACCCTGCCACACCTGAATGAGTTGCTTAGTGGTTTCCGGGGTTAGGAACGGACGTATTTTGGAGATGTTGCAGAGGTGAAGTCTACATGAGTTTGTCAGCGATTGGACCTGGGGTTGGAAAGACAGGTTGGAGTCTAGAGTGACACCTAGTACTCTGGCTTGCGGGGTGGGGCTGATGGTGGCATTGTTGGTCGTGATGGAGAAGTCGGGGGGGGGGGGGGCGCGGGCTGGGGGGGAAAACTAGGAGCTCGGTTTTGGAAAGGTTTAATTTGAGGAAGTGGAGTGACATCCAATCCAATATGTCGCTCAGTAGGCTAGTGATTCGGGCGGAAACTGAAGGGGTGAGTTGAGGGGTAGAGAAATAGATTTGCGTGTCATCGGCATAGAGGTGGTAGTTGAAGCCGTGAGAGTGTATCAGTTGGCCAAGGGAGGAGGTATAGATGGAGAAGAGAAGGGGCCCGAGGACAGAACCCCAACAGAGATGGGGAGTGAGGGGGAGGTGGCAGCATTATA